AAATTTAACATTCATAATTTTAAAAAAACAACTGAAATCTTAGAAAATGAACGTAAGAAAAGAAAATCCAAAGAAGAAAAACGACTTAACAACGCGATCAACTCTATCACAGGAATGGATCTAAATGATAGTGAATGTGATGACGAATCAGATAATGATATCAAGAAAGAATAACTTATTTATTATTTTAATAAATATACCTATTATAAATTATATTTATTTATTGTTAATAAAGCTTATATTTTAAATTGGAAATCATTTCACTTTTATTTTTAAATACCAGAATTTAGGAAAATGTTTGTTTAATTTTTTTTTATTTATAAAGAATTTTTTTTATTAATAATCTTTTCATATCAAATTCAGTAATAAAAAAATATTTTTTTGTTTTAAGATAACCTTTTTTTAAAAATGTAAATTCAATATTATGAAAAAAGTAGAATAAAATTTTGTCATTTTTTATATCAATCATTTTTTTTTCTTCAATATAAAATAAGATTTTATATTTTGAAGTAATTATATTAAAAATATTTAATGATATTATATAATATTTTTGGGTTATTAATATATTATTGATATATTTTGTTTCTATCGTTTTAAACAACAATTCTCGAAAGAAGATATTAATTTGTAAATATTCATATTTTGTTATATTATATATTTTTTTATTTATATTTAATGAATATATTTCTGAAGAGCTATTAATTTCTTTTTGAATTGTTATTTTTTGTAGTGTTTTTTTTATAATTTCATTAAATATTTTACATATTAATTTAATTTTTTTAATTTCTTCAAAATTTTCAAATAAATAATTCTCAATAATAATATAATAAATTTCAAGTGAAAACATTTTAACTTAATTTATTTATAAATGTTATATTTATATAAAATTGGACTAATTTGAAATTTGTTTTTACTATTTTATCTGATCAAAATTGTTTAATTATCTGATATCCATTTACCTGATCAAAATTGCTCAAGTGTTTGAATATTATGTGAGTAAAATTGCTCAATCGAAAAAACAACCAAGCAAAATTGCTTGAACAAAATTGCTAAATCGAAAAAAAAACAACTAAGCAAGATTGTTCAAAATCTTAATTAGTAAAATTATTTAAGTAATTTTATTAATTTAATTAATCAATTAAATTTTTGATAGATTCATAACATCGTGTTCTTAGTAAATCTTTTTTTTTACATAAAGTATTATCAACAAATCGAAATTTACGTAAATTATCACCAGCAAATTCTGATAATGCAATATAATATATTTTTTTTTCACATAAATAAAAAAGTATAAGATATTTTAATTCTAATTTTAAATATTTGTTGATTATTTGTTTTGAGTTTTTTTCTATAAATTTCCATTCTTGAGTTAAAGTTTTTAATCTTCGATTAATTAGTAAATCAAAATTATTAAATCGATATCCTTGTAGAAAAAGAATTTCTTTATTATGAATTGTAATAACGAGATCATGACATTGTTTATTAACTAAAAAAAGATTTTTAGAATCTTTTAAAGATAAAAATCGAAATATAATTACTAAAATTTCATTAGGTAAATTTTTCATTTATTTTATTAAAATAAAAAAAATACAGATATTTATAAAAAAATAATTTAATTTTAGATTTTAATTAAATTTAATAATTCTTGCTCAGTTCCTTTTTCAAATTAATTTAAATTTTGAATTTTTATCGAATTTTCCATCACATTTAATAATAAAATTAATATTTTCTTTAAAAAATTTATGTCTATTGAAATCATCAATAGGATACCATGATTCAAAAAATACAAATTTAATTCTATTATATTTGTTAAAAAATTTTTTTGTAATTCTAGTTTCTCCTATCATTTCTGGAAGAACAATATATCCTCGTCTTTTTAAATCATTTTTAATTTTATTGTTTACAGAACTTGAATAATAACAAAATTTATCATTAAATAATTTTTCACTAAGTGAGGATTTTCCAGATCCAGGTTTACCATAACAATAAATGAAGATTGGTTTTTCGTTATTCATTTTTTTTTAATAATTTTAAAAAAAATATTTTTGCTTCTTTTATAAATAAAATAGTTTATTATTCTAAATGTAGTAAATTTAGTTTAACTTAATGTAGAGTTATATATTTTTAAAGTACGTGTATAAATAAAAATAATAATGATTATTTTAGATTATCAATATAAATAAAAAATATAAAATAAACTATATTTTGTCTCGTTAAAAAATTAAATGGTAGAAAAAAAAAAATATCTTTTTATTCATAATGCAGCAACATCCTATTATTGTAATCAATGTCGTGAAAGATTCAAATGTAAAAAAACAGAATCGAAAAAAGATAAAAGTGATCGTGAAGATTATTATAAGAAATTTGGAGTTCCTTTATATGATCTTTGTAACGCTTGTCATTGGCGTTGTAAAAACAAAAAATGTTCAAATTGTTGTAATCTGAATAAATGTAATGATGTAATCTGTGATTACTGTAAAAATAATAAAATAAAATGTGAAAGATCTCTACCTACGAGTCAAATAGCATTTGATAAAATAAAAGATAAAATTTCATTTATAAGTTGGCAATATGAGCCAAATGAAAGTGGAAAAATTCATATGCAAATATATATGCAATTTAATAAAAATAAACGTCAAACTATAAAAAGTGTAAAAGAAATATTAAATGATCATTCGATGTTATTTCCTGATAAGTTAAAAGGAAATTCTGATCAGAATCTTTCATATACGACTAAAAAGTTTGATCGTTGCAAGATGCATTCTAGTTGTACATGTGATTTTTTCAAACGTGAAAAAATTTGTGATAAATGTACATTGATTTGTTTACGTAAAATTGCAGTTTGGGGAAGAGGGGAGCTATCAAAAGAAATTGTTGGCCCATTTCTATTTGGAGATTATCGTTTTATCGATGGTGATGAAAAGAATTCATCAGATGATTTGAAAGAACTTCAAATTGAAGAACATAAGGCTATTATTGAAGGAAATCATATGTTGTTAGAAGGATTATCTCCATTAGAAGTTTTTAAACATAATAAAGATAAAGTTAGATACACTTATAGTTATGAGAGTATGAAAAAGATTCAACAAGATTTAGAAAAAGAAAAGATTGAAAAGATAAAGATTATTCTAGACAAAAAATTTTATCCAAAAAACTTTTTATTTTATGGTGATTCAGAATCTGGAAAGACAACATTGTTAACAAATCTGGCTTTAGCTTTAACGAATGGAAGAGGTTATATTGCAAAATCTGATGAGCAAAATTATTTTACTGAATATGAAAACCAAGAATGTATCATTAAACAAGAACTTTCTTATTCAACATTTAAGATAAATGATCTACTCAACATATTGAGTCAAGATGATTCTCCTATACCAAGAAAGAATCGATCTTCTAAAAAGATAGTATCTAAATTCAATTTATTTACATGTAATGAAAGTATTGATGATATTTTTTCTTTTCGAACAAGAATTCATAGTGAAACAGTAGTTAATAGTGAGGAAAAAAGATATGCTTTATATAGAAGATTTTCAGATTCTCCTGCATATACTTTTGGGTATATTATATATTTAAGTGGAAGATATTTTGATGGGTGTGTGAAATTTACCATTTTATCTGGAGATTCTCGACTCAAATCTGGTAATCTTCAGAAATTTATAGATGGAAGATTTGATATTAAATTTACTGAGGATATTACAACAATTGAAGCAGCAAAACAATTTGTATATGATGATGATATCGAGAATATTTATATCAATGAAGATGATGAGAATGTATATATGAAGAGAGAACTTAATATAAACAAGATTCTCGGAGGCATTATTTCGAGTATTGATTATAAAAATAATAGTTTTAAAGTTTATAATCAATACTGGAAAGAAGAGTTGCCTGATGATTATATATATCCAAAAAATCTTAATGATGTTCATAGAAAATTACGTATAAAAATTCTAAACAAACAAAAAATAGAAATCTCTAAAAAGAGAAAAAATTCATTTGATATAGAATCTAATGATCATATAAAAAAACGATTATTTAATTTACAATCATTTAATAGTTATAATTTTAACTATATGTTATAAATTTTTATTTTAATAAAAAATTTTTTATATATAAATATCATTTGTTTTATATATTTTTTTTAATTAAAAATGTCTGCTGAAAACTTTGAACAAAATATTTGGAAAACAAAATTCAATTCTTATGAAGTTTTATCTCACTGGAGTAAAGTTGTAAATCCTGATAAGCCAAAACTCAAACTGAATGAATATCGACTTATTGAGATTAATGCAACTTTATTTCTTGAAGTTTCAACTCAAAAGAAAAATATTACATTTCTTACAGATCTCAAACATTTTGAATATATTAAGAATTATACTTGGACTGCGGTTAAACCAACAAGAGCAAATACATATTATATTCAAACAGAAATTAAAAAAGATAATAAAAGAAAAAAATTGTTATTTCATAGATTAATTTATCCTAATTTTAAAATGATTGATCACATCAATCGTTCAGGATTAGATAACAGAGAATCAAATCTCAGAGAAACAACTCCTAGAGAAAATGCTTTAAATCGAAAATTATTTAAAACAAATAAATCAGGTTATAATGGAGTTTATTATAGAAATAATAATAAAAGAAACAAAAGATGGATTTTTAAATACTATGAAGATAAAAAAGAAAAATTTAAATATTTTAAGATAAAAGAAGAAGCTATTAAATTTAAACTAGAACATGATAAAAATACTGGTAATAGAAATGGTTATTCTGTATAGATTTTAAATTTATATTTTTTATTATTAAATAAATTTAATACAATTTCAGTCATATATTATTTAAATATATGTTCAAGCAGAACGACGAGAACGTATTGTATCTTATCTGCTCATAGACTATTCCTCACTCTAAGAGATTCAGAAATAATCTTTGCTATCTTTTAAAGTGACAATACAACTATAGAACACTAAGCCAAAAAAAGTTGTACGTTATCATAGCATTAAAAAAAAGTTTGGTCCATTTAATCAGACTTGAGCGGAACCATACTCAAGACGACTAGTTGCTCTGAGATCTGGTGATTTAAAGAAAGATAAATCCCACTCGGCATCTCAAGACTTGAAATTCTTTTCTTTTGTTGTGGGCATCAGAAAATTTAATGACTTTCACTCAATCCGAAGAGAATTACTCATCAAAATACTAACCCCATAAAGGAAACAGATTTTTCGTTCAATAGAGAGATATCTATTAAGGCCAAAATCTTTAAGACCTTCTAAAACGAAAGTATTTTTTTTTTTTGTGACCAATTCGCTTCTATACTATGTTCTTATTCACGATGATATTACCAAAGGAAATACTTTAGCATAGTTTAGACCAAAGTTATTATGTACTTCACTAACAAATGTTAGCTTCTCTCTTTGGATTTGCTACATTTTGGTTTAAACTTTGGAATTACATATCATGTACGTGAACAAAAAAATGTGTATTTCATCAAAGCAGAAAGAGGTGAGAAATCATAAAAAATTGGAAATCGATGATATTTAGTACAAAATTTTATGCAGATCATTCTTCTGATTTACAAATTTAGTAAATATCAATGAGTTTCTAAATTTGTAATATTAAACAAAGATAGGTTAAATAATTTATCCGATATATTTATTTAATATCTTACATAATTTATTTATAATAAAATTAATACATTATATAATTTAAAATAATAACATAAAAAAAAACTTTATAGAAACCTGATCGAATCTAAAAAGAAAAAAAAAATAAAATAAAATTTTTACTATATTTTAAAATAATTCTGGAGTAGAAACATTTTCATTATTATTAATACGTGATTGTAAATCACTGATAATTTGTTCTAAATGATTGATAGTTTGTTGCATAAGTTCTGTTTCACGCTTGTAAGCTTTTTCTCTTTCTTCTTTTTCACGTTTATAGATCTTATCTTTTTCTTTTAATCTTTCTCCATATTCATACTCATGTTTTTTAGTTGTACTTTCAATTCGTTCAATTTCTTTTTCATGTTTCTTAATCATAGACATCAAATTTTCATTTTCATTTGTTTTTACATTGATTAATTGTTCATAAAGATTAACTTGTTTATTATGATTTTCTTTCATAACATTATTCTCTCGTTTCTGTTCTTCGAGAGATGCTGTTAATTGATCGATTTTTACTAAGAGTTGATTTTTTGTCAATCTACTCTCAGACATAATTTTTGATAACGAATCAAGGACGAATCTGTATAATTTTAACATTTTTATTTTTAAATTTTTATATAATAAATTACTTATCTTCATATCTACGAATTCTGTGTTTTTATATAAGGTTATACAAACTTTATTTAATATAAAATATTTAAGTATAAAATTAAAAATAAAGTTTGTACATCATTCTATCAATGAGTTTCTAAATTTAGATTAATCTTATCTATTTAAATAAGATAGGTTAAATAATTATACGATTTAAATTAAAAAAAAAATAATAAATAAAAAATTTTATTTAATAAAAAAAAACATTCGTACAAAAAAAATATAAACAAAAAAATTAGATTAATTCCTTAAAATAATTTTCAAAATTTTCAGAATATATGATTTCATTTACGTAATTCATATCTAAATTTTTAAATATAATATTATATTCAATTTCCTTATAATCAATAAAATTATCATTTGTATCATACATTAAAAAAAGTAAATAAACTTTTTCGTTTGTTCTTTTCATAAAACTTTTTTGAATTCTTTTATTAATTTTCATCATATTAAAATGACTTCTATCATCATATTCTCTGTATTTTGTTTCCCAGTTATCGATTACATCAGAATGATTATTTGATTGTTTAGAGAATATATTTTTGTTAACTGAATAACTAATGAAGCCATTGGCTATCAAATTAGAGATCATTTTTTTTTGATCACAGTTTTTTTAAGATATTTTCAAATATTTTAAAAAAATAATTAGATTATTTTTTACTTTTATAAATAAAAATTTATTATTATTAAAAAATAATATAAAAAAAAAATTATCGTTCTTCAATCCTACATGAGAATTTTTTTTCTTTTCTATTTACAAAATTTTTTAAATTTGACTCAGGTTTGTAACCAATATTAATGAATAATTTATCTATATTTGTATAATTATGAATTATCCTCCGATAAAAATTATCCATTACCTTTTCTATTAATTTTTTACTTTCATTCTTGTTCAAGATTTTATCAGTATGTAGGTCTTCTTCTAGTAATTTT